GCATAAAATTGTTATGGTTCAAACCCTACTGAGCAGTGGAAATGTTTGGTAATGATATTAACAGGTCATATCTAATAATTCACTAAAAGGAGAGACCATTATTTAAATTTTGCATCGTGTTAGCTGTACCCAAGCTACTGTCAAACCTTTGACAAATACTAAGGTACTAGGGTTTCTGTGATTCTGGGATTTCACATTGTCATTCCAAAATGACAGTTTTCTCAGACCTAGATTGGGAATCTCTAAAACAGTGTTGAATTCCTGAGTACATAAATTTGCTACTTTGTAAATACCACAAGATGCATCAGACAGATATTAATTAATTAATCATTTGAAATACAAATTTTTATAATTTGGCAATGGTTTCCTGCATTATGTTGTTCTACACCACACTATTTGTAATATTTTAAATTTAAAGTCACAACGAAGAGCTCTTCTAGGTTGGATGAGAATATTTCATTATAGTTGAGAAAAAAAAATATGTTATTAGGTCTTTTGATGTACTTATTCTTACATTTTTCTGTCTAGAGGAACTATTTGAACTGGTGAGCCAATGGATATGGTACATCTGAACTGAGTCCAATAAGCTGCATTAGACTACACAAACCTTTCAGAAAGATGTTCCATCCTGATTTGAAAGCATCAGAAAAAGGAGAAACCACAACTCTCTCTGCTAACTTCTTCCAGTGGTTAACTAGCCTCATTACTAGTAGTTTAGAATTTATTTCTAATTTTAATTTATCTGGGTTTTATTTTTATACTGCCTTTGTTATATTTGTCCTTGCTGGCTCAAGGACCCATCTAGTTCCTAGTATTTTCTCTCTTTGAAGCAACTTATTGATATAATCAAGTTACCTCTTAACTTTTTTATTTTCTTTACATTTCTTTACATTAATCATAGGTTTATCTTCAAAAGAAGAATGCCAGAGAGAACTCTCCAGACTGAAAAATCCTGAAATTTACTAACTGGCATTAATAAATTCTAAAGGCGTTTAAAAAATAAAAAAAAAGAAAGAAAAAGAAAAAAAGAAAGAGCGAGATCCATAACAATAGTGAACAAGATTGAGACAAGGCCAAGAATGAGCAAAAACTAGGTGGATATGATTTCCTGAAATTATAAGCTTAAACTGGTGCCTAAACACAGATTAAGGAGGTGGATTTTCAAAAACACATCAATGCTGTAATGAGATTAATATTTCTAACACATTTGGGTTGTTCTGAAATTCCACACCCACACATGATTAAGGCATCCATTTTCAAGATGTTGACCTGAAGCAATGAAGAAATAGTATTATTAAATAAGTAAATACACAGTCTTCCAGTGTCCCATATTCATCAGCTGGGAAAGATGTTTAGATCTAAGAAAGAAAATGCTAACAATCTACTGGAAAGTCAGGGCAATAAGAACCCTGTACATCATATGGAAAACAAAATATTTTATTCATGTTTCATGTAGAAAAAAATAAGAGTGGTCAGAGGTACCCTGGCTGTTTATATCTGGTTGGAGGATATATCTTCAGCAATTCAGAAAGATTGAAATCCTGTGTAAACTTCATCCTTCCTATAACTGCTTAAGATGTACAATTATTTTCCTGTCTGCTTTCTGAATATTCCATCCATTCTACTTTATGTACAGAAACTGACAATCATACAGTTTCTGGTTTCCTGCAAAAAATTTCTAAGTTAAATACAAAAGTATAATATATTCAATCTATAAATTTACAACCCTATAATAAAGCACATGATAAAACATTTACATGGGTTAGTCATGGCAAAACACCTACGTAGTTTTCATAGCTTAATAAAAACAAAATGAAAACATAATTTATATTGTCAAAATATCTCAAAGATGCTAAAAGGTCTTTCATTTTAAAATTGGTAAGTGGTAATGTTATAAATAAGTTAAAGAACTCTTCACAAATTCTTGATATTTACTCATCTAAACTAAATTCTTCCTAATAATTCAATTTATAAATCAGTAATGTATATAATTTTCCTGGGCAATAAGGACCTACTGAGTAATATGGGTTTTAATAGTGCTTCGCTTTACAGCCTTTGAGAAGCTTGGCAATAATAGAAGAGTTGAAAACAAAACAAAAACAGAAAAAAAACCCCTCTTAAGCCACATCTACTTTGTGGTCACGGAAGTGACTTCTATGTAGTGTAGAGGTATTTTAAATTACATAGCCTGGAAAATTGTAACTGTCTAGCTATTGCTGCTTGGCTTAATTTAGTCCACTCATCACTTTTACTTCCTTGACAGCAATGTAGACATATACCAGAGACTTCTGTTCCGTTCCATGTTTTTATTTTCTTTCTTTTCTCCTTGTCTCCTTTTATTCCTCCTAAACTAGAAAGCTCAGGGTAAAGTCAGGCACCAAACTCAATGCAAGCTAAAAACATAACTTTTGGTGACACTTGGTGACCCCAAGATGAATGCTGGTTGATGCCCACTTGTTATGTCTGTAGTGTCTAAATATTTCATAATTAAATGGCTTACATAGATATATAGTATCTGTTAATATCTCTTCTCTAACTCAACATTTTAGTTAAGGTCAGCAGGTGTACCATTGTCATTTCCATCACTGTCTGAAGACACTTCTGGGTATCGCTAGGGGTGTAAGTGTGATATTTAGCTGATGAATTCCATCCAAGAGTCTTAAAGTCTTGATTAAGAGAATGAATCAAATAGTCTGGGTGAATTCTTTTTTTTCACTGAAAAATAGTTTAACTAGTAGTAGAGGATTTAAGTCATGGGTGAAGCTGGAATCAGAATCTCTGTCTTGAGAGGAAAATCAGTGCAATTGAATCATAGAATCACAGAATACCAGGTTGGAAGGGACCTCGAGGATCATCTGGTCCAACCTTTCTAGCAGAATCTAGACGAGATGGCCCAGCACCATGTCCAGCTGAGTCTTAAACATGTTCAGCATAGCGGAGTCA